ACAAAAAAGATGTTCACAAGAAGTTTTATACTTCTTTGCTAATAAAGTCTTTACACTTTCATTAAAACAACTTGAAATTTGTCTTCATATATCTCTCCTATTTTTCTTTACTTGTTTATAAACTTCTTTGAATAAAAACTTGGACCTTTAATGATTTAAAAAGACACACACTTCCTCTACTAAAGGCAAGAAGATTCTAGAAAATAAATGGACTGACAAGTGAAGTGTCATCTTAAAGAGCTAGAAACAACAAAACATAAAGGTTCTGTTGATAGGAAAAGGCTTATTATTCACCTTCTTACATATTGGCTTATACCCTCTTAAAGTGTCTACTGTTTTTCATAGTTTCTTGAGGGATTTTGGTTACCTCAGTTTGACCTTGAATTTCTAATAGCACAATGTCACCTGGTATCTGATTGATTGACATGAAACATGTTAGTAACTGAATGTAAACAAGCTCCTATTGGTCATCTCATATATTCTAATAATATCATTAATAATAGAAAGAGTTAATTAGTGCTTCATATCTACCTATTCCTCCAATTGGATTAATCTACAGATCAAGTACTATGAGATCAATAAGATATGAGTAACAAGTCCCCAGATGATGAAAAAGTTGCTATTTGTTCAAGCTGAGATCTTTCTCTCCTATTATTCTAATTAGGCAAAGTTCAAAATCAAGATCATCTTTTTATTCTAGTCAAGCAATAAGACTGAATGGTCTCTAGTCTATGCTAAGCTCCAACCCTTTAGTTACAATTGAAAATGCATTTCTCCAGAAGTTATTGAAGGATATTGCAATTGATAAGGATCTCCACTATTTTTCTGATACCTTCCTACCATTGTGAAGTAAAAAGATCTTTGGAGAATGACTATTTTGTACAATGGAAGATATACATCAGTAAAATTCCTTTAACTAGGCATAGCTGCTGAAAGGTATCATACTAAACAACATAACCCAGTTTCTACTAGGTCACATAAGAATCTAGGGTCTACTGTAAGTCATCTTTCCATTACAAGTAGATAAAAAATTATTATCCAAAGAAGGTTGGAACCAAGTATATCCTGAAAGTAAAGGCTTCTACTAGATGATAAGTCTCCTTAGATAATACTTGAGAAGAAAATCAAGATCAAGAATAGATAAGTTCCTCAAATAGTCAGAAAAAGAAAGGATATCCCAATTGGATATTTCTTATTGAGAAAAGGTCTTGAGAAGCAGGTCTTTGGAGAAAGCTGGAGATATTTTTTTTCAATTTTTACCTTTTTATTTTCTTGTTGTCTGCTTAGACATTTCTAGATATCTTCCCTCCTCTATTTTCAATCCATCCCTTTGTAGTTTCCTGTATTTCAACGGCTTGATCAGATATATGGTAGTAACAACCTGTTGGCAATAATGTAGTGGACTAGTAGAGTTTTTACCCAAAGATACTGTGAAATGAAATATTGTTCTTAAGGTCAAACTTAGAGGCTATTATGTTTATGATGAGTTAGTTAGATTATGATAAAAGTTTAGCTATAGTATATACCATGTTGCTCGAATAAAAATGTACTTATGTTTTTAATTGATTAATAAACTAATAATCTAACCTGACTATAGATATACAAAAAAAAAAAAAAAAGATCTTGACTAAAAATAACTATCCAATGATATTAGAGGCTATTTTTATAATACTATAGATCAGGTAGCCCAGGAAATACAGAAGACTTAAAAGACTCAAATGGCTCAAGTAATTCAAGTGATCTATTTTTATAAGTATATAAGTAATCATAATTTACTCAAAAATAGGATAAGTTTGAATATAACTTCATTTGACTTTGAAAGTTTGAGTATAACTTTACTTAATTTTGGAAGTTTAGGTATAACTTCAATTAATTTCTTGAAGATTTTTGATTTTAGAACTAAAGGAATTGTCCTAGTTTTTTTATTTATTAATAAACTTGAGTTCTGAGCAAACCATATTTCTTGTGAAACATTATATGACATTGTTTGAAGGATTCTTGGTGAATCCATTCTTGAATATTTTTTTAATTATTATAAACCACTTATTAAATTCTTTCTTTGGAAATTATCCTTTTAAAAGAAATTCCACTTGGACACACTAGTCAAATATAAATTTGATAACAATATTGTCTTCAAAATCTAACTTAGAGTACTTATGTATAAAGATAAGTTAGTCTCATTGTGAAAGACTGTAAACTATTGTAGATATTGTTTTAATTTCTCAATAAAGACAAGCTATTGTGATATGATTGCGATTAAAAAAAAATCTTGCATCAATTCATATTTAATTACGCATAGAAAAATATTATACAGGTGACTTGTTGCGAACGTATTGTTTGTGCGACCTTCGATCGCGCTTGATAACCCGCGTTTTTCTTTTGGTTTTTATTGATATAAATAATATTTATTTTATTTAGTGCGCAGCGTGATGATTACAAAGTAAAATGTCAGTCCGATTTTGTGCAACCTCTAAATAATACGAAGTAACATGCGATAACTACATTTCGTGAAGTCAGAGAGTTAAAATGTTACCAATATCAGATCTCGCGCTATTTAAGGTTTCCATATATGATTCCTTTGTAAATAAAGGATACGTCAAGTCACAGAGACCTATATGGAAAAATCCTTGTAAGCAAAAGAAGTCGATATTACGTATTGTCCAGATATGTGCAATAAAGTTTTTCTGTCGATTATAGGGGTTATAGGAGGAGCAGCAGCCGTTACTGGAGGTTTGTAATTAAGAAGACGAAAGCAATTTCAGTTTATTACCAATCAAAATAATAATTACTTGTTTTATAAGTTTTTTTTACACCACTTGCATTCACCGCGATTACCGGAGCCTTGGGACTTGGGTCTGGAGGTATAAAAGTGGAATCATTTGTAGCTTGGTTATATCAAACCATTTTAAAAAATAATTGATTATTTTATATAGGTGTCGCCGCTACTGGTGCTGTTGGTGCAGCCGGAGGTGCAATTGGAGGAGGACTTGGTAAATTTTTTGCAGACCGTAAATTATCTTACTTAGAAGAAGAATCGTTTGAAAAATTCATTAAAATCGAATTAGTTGATTATGATGATAGCAATAAGCAAGAGAAAGATACCATTAGCAAAGTCATATTCCACATCTATAGACCGGTTCTGAGAGACGAGGAAATAGTCGAAACGTTTTTGCAAGTAATAATAATAATATCACCATTCTCAAAGTCAAAAAATTTCGATTTTATGGTAGATAGTCAAGATATAGGAGCAGAATCACTTCAAGGATGCTTGCATCTCTTGCAAAAACTAGTTAAAACATATGGTGGATCCCGAGTTAGCGTATTATCGGAAAGTAAAAAAACGGGAGGTGTACGCGGATATTCATTAGATCTCATAGATTATGAGCCCC